AGCATGGAAATTACACCGGGAGGCGGAGGCATCGGGTTCACCAGGGAGGTTACTTGTTCCTCTTTTCTTATTTTTAGTCACTATTGTGTTGGCCAGGAGGCCGGTGCTCATTAACCTGTGTTGCCAGAGCGGAGACTCTGCAAAACCGCTAGTGATTAAACCTGCCCCACCCACCCCTCTGCTCCCACTGGCTATTTATAGCTTTCCTTCCCTCTGGTGAATTAATTGCACTCCTGGCCTCAGACGTTGGCTATTGTGTTTAGCTGATGTCCCTTTGAGGCCAGCGTGGGGAAGTGTGTGGAGGGGCTGGAAGTGGCAAGGTGGGGCTGCTGGCTACTGCCCAGCCCAGCCACCTTCCCCTTCCAGGTCCCAGCCCTCCCCAAACCTCCCGTCTCCCCCGCCCCCACCCCCCAGCAAAATGGGACTGAGGAAGCCTCTTGTACCGCAGACTAACTCCTTAGAGCAGTGGTTCTCAACCTTCCTAATGCCGCGACCTTTTAATACAGTTCCTCCTGTTGTGGTGACCCCTAACCATAAAATTATTTTTGTTGCTACTTCATAACTGTAATTTTGCTACTGTTATGAATTGTAATGTAAATATCTGATATGCAGGATGTATTTTCATTGTTACAAATTGAACATAATTAAAGCGTAATGATTAATCACAAAAAACAATATGTAATTATATGTGTTTTCCAATGGTCTTAGGCCACCCCCGAGAAAGGGTCGTTCGACCCCCAAAGGGGTCGCGACCCACAGGTTGAGAACCGCTGCCTTAGAGGGTGGTGAGGTTTGGGGTTTTAAAAGCCAGCCCACCTGCCCCCATTTACAGAGTTTGACAATGTTCTAGGAAAAACAAGTCCAAAACACATCCCCTCCCTCAACAGTTAAGCAAGGGCCCAAGACATGAGGCTTCAAAATTCCCTGGGCCTAGAGCAGTACCTGGGTGAGGGCTACACCACATGAGCAGGGGTGCCTGAGGGCAGGGATTCGGCAAGTGGAGCAGAGAGGGGAGGGAGCCCCCACAAGGACCCCAGCAGCACTGGTGAGGAAAGGGGGTGTGAGGGACCTCACTGGGACCGACTTCTCAAGCCCGGCCTCCTACTTCACAGATGGGGACACTGAGGCCCAGAGCAGCCGCATCTTGTTCCTTCATCCAGCACACACTGATTACCTCCCCATTGGTGACGGATCCTGGCCTGCTCTGTCCCTGCAGAGCTCACAATACCTCCTGTCTGTCTCCCTACCTGGAAGTCTATATGCAGTCCACCAGGCTGCACCTGCCCCTGCCTGACACATCGCAGGGCTCAGTAATCATTTGGGGACTTCCTTGTCCAAGGTTATGGAAGAGGCAGGACTACAAGTACTGCCATGACCATCTCCCCATGTCCCTGCCAGCACCCCCAGGACCACCCCAAACACACAAATTCTGTGGAAAGAGCACCCTGGCCTTGCCAGTGCAGCATCAATGCCCGTCCCCTAAGTGCTCCACTCCCATCTCCTCAGGCCCCTCTGCCCAGCCCAGCCACACCGGGGTCAGGACCGCAGGGCAGGCTTCTAGACCAGGGCACACAGAAGCTCCTGTCACCTCCCACAAGCCCCTCTCAAGCCCAAAGCCCAGACTCTCACTGTCCAGATTTACAACCACCCACCCGATCTCAAAGCAGTGGCTACCCTGGACGCCGGTCACACGGGAGGTGCTGCTCTTCGGACACCTGTGTCCCAGGGGAGACAGACATCTCCCCCGAGCATGGCCAATGCCTGCAGGAAGGGGTTTGGAGTGGGGCTAGGCTTGAGCCCCACCCATAAAATTCAGCAGCGTTTACTCTTCAAGCGGAGCTGTACGTGCTCAGTGAGCGCTCACACTAGTGAGCGCCAGGTCAGCCTGCCTCCAGCCCAGGGCACCATCCTGCACCCGGAGGTGGCCTCCCAGGGCAGGCTTGTGGTCCAGCCTCCTGTACCAGCCTGGGAAGGAGGTCAGCTGTCTCTCAGCTCTGTGGACTACTGTGTGAGTATTAGTCTTCACCAGCACCAGCGATAATATGAAAATCACTACAGTTAATGCTGGCAGGTTGGCCTTGCTCTGGGCTGCAGATTAGGTGAATTGCCTAGAGGGATACCCCCCCCCACCTCAGTCCTTGGCCTCGGGGACCCCCCTCAGCTGGGAGAAGCTTTCCAGGCCCCACTCTCTCCAGCTCTCCTGTCTGGTCTCTCCTTGGCCCCCAGGGCTGAGACCAAGTTCTCTGGGCAGTTTTGTGCCTAAAATTACCTCCTTATGCCTGCAATTTGCCATTTGCACCTTCAAAATAGAGTGCAACTGGCTAATTGCCATGGCAATTAGGTAATCGCAGGTGCAATTAGCATCTCTTTAGCAAAGCAGGGGGGCAAGGGGGAGGAGAGGAGACAGAGAGAAAGAGGGAAATCGAGATGGGAAAGAGGGAAATGTAGGAGCAGGAAGATAGGCCAGAGGTTGAGAGGGAGAAAGCCAGGGGCTGGGTGAGAGGGAACAAGAGTGGGTGCACAAGGAGAGGGACGAGGGTGGCTAGACAGAAGACAGGGGGTGGACAAAGAAAAATAATTCAATAAGCCACGGTCCCTGTCTTGGAGGGGCTGGTGCCCCAGAGATGAGAATGGCCCAGAGCATGGCAGAAAGACAAATGGAGGAGCAATGCAGGCTGGCTGCAGCTTCAGTGCGTCCTGGGGTAGCTGGGCTGGGACAAAGGGCTGGTTCCCATAAGCAGACAAGGGGCGATGGGCATTCTGGTAGTGTCCCAGCATGAGCAAAGGTCCTGAGGTGTGAGAGCCGAGTCTTCAGACTGAAAGACCCCGGTGCTGCACTGTCCAGTAGAATGTTCTGCTGGGATGGACATATTCTATACCTGCGCCCTCCGATGTGGTAGCCACCAGCCACAAGTGCCTATTGAGGACTTGAAATGTGGTCAGTGAGACTGAGAAATTGGGCTTTTTATTTTATTTAAGTGAAAATATAAATAGTTACATGGACAGCACAGGGTGCTAGAGGAGTGGGGGTGAGGTTTGGATGCCAGGGTCAGGCTCCCATAGCAACTGCCCTCCGCCCAGCCTGTGATGCCAGGTGCTGGGATGGCGAGGACAGAGGAGAAGTTGAAAGGAATAGGCAGGTCCTATTTTGGATGTAGACTTGTTCAGTTTGGGTGCAGGCAAGTCACCAGGAGGAGATGTTTAGTTGACCATTGGAAGTTTAAGATTGAAGCCCTACTTCTGTCTTGCACTCCACCCCCCTCCCCCAGCTCTGCACAGATGTTTCCTGGTGTCCCACTCATGTAGCTCCATGTCTGAGAGGAGGAGGGGCTGTGAGTCTCTCTGACCCTCCAGCCCCACATTCCTCAGGCCCACACCCAACCCAGGACCCCATCCACCTTTGCAACAAAACAAGCTTTCAGAGCGGTCATGCGGGCTAACAGGGCTGCACACTCACACGCACTTGCATTCACATCCAAACACATAAGTATAAGCATGGTCACACAACTGCACTTGGACACACTCACGCATGCACACACACCCACACAAGGCACTTTTGGCAGCTGTTCCTGGTGAGTTTGGGGCCTCACAGGGGCTTGGAGGTGTCTGCCCTGTGCAGGCTGTCGGGAGTAAGGATCGTCATCAGCACCAGCAAGAATCAAGAAAAATGCTGCTGCAGACCAGAGAGGAGGTGCAGAGCCTGGACCTGCTGCAGGGTGCATTCTGAACCCAGTGGCCACTGGGTCCCTTTCCCTTCGCACCTGGGAGTGGTCAGGGCTGAGGCCTGGCTGGGGCTGTGAATGCCAGGCTGCATTTGAGGAGGGGCATAACCCCAATACTGTGACGTGGCCTGACCCGCCCTGCCCCTGCCATCTTCTCACCCTCCTCTCCCTGCCTCCCAGCTCACCCCACCCCGCCCCACTCGCTCGGGGCTGTGTCTGCCTGCCGTGCTCCTGTCTCCATGGCTGCTCCCATTCAGTGTCTCTTCTTCCCTCTCGGGGATTTCTGCCTTCTTCCCTTGGTCTCCTCCTGTGCTAGAACCAGACATTCCAACCCACATGAAACTCCCACCTAAGGACTGCCATGTAGAACCTCAAGAATATTCTTTTCTTTGCTGATACTGGGACCTGCTGTGAAAACCCTCGAGACCTGGGACCTGGGACTCCGCAGCAGGATGAGTAGACTGCCCCCAGGCCCGCAGCGGTCACCGCATGCCTTGTGCAGCCTGTCTGAGC